TTACGCGCACCACTTTCAATATTAGAGCAAATCTCATTAATTCCAATCAGATTACTTGTTTTTACGAAATTAGATCCAATCAAACCATAACACAACTGATACCAAAGGTTATCCATTCGAAGTTCAAACGCTTCAATAAACAATTCACCAGCTAGAGCACCATTATCTCCAAGAATAACCAGTCTTAGGATTTTGGAGTTAAAGTTTCAAGTTCCAAGTTCAAATCCAAGAAATAAGTACAACCTGCTAACTCACGTGTCAAATGGAAGCCAAGTCAATGCACACTAACTTCATGATCTTGAATGCGGTTACTCTATATCTCAAGGTCCCCTCAATCTGCACCCAAAGATATGCTCACACGTCTTGAAACCAAAATTTTAAAATATAAGAAGAGTAATTAAAGTAACTAAAAAAAACAGTCTTATCGGGTCCAAGATTTTCATTAGAAAACATAAGTTCGCCATTCTTCCGAGTGTAAAGCAGAGACAAATTCAGGTGTGAGAATACATCAGTATACAATCAAGGGGGGAAAACTTTGTTTAGAAAGTTTTAACCTTGTATCAGCCCATCATATACAAAATTCAACTCATCAGTTATTCACAAATGTTCAAATGTACGATTGAAGTAAAATTCACATTTTTACCAAAATCAGAAAATTATACGTACTTAAAGCATATATATATTATTTCAAATCATCATTTGAAAAGAAACTAGTACATCCTAGTTTTTCTTTAGAATTTCAAAGCGAAAATTCTCTAGGAGGTAAATGGGCTGAAAATGCATTTTATTCCTTTGGTACTCTTTTATCTTAGTTCAAACTCATCATACATGGAGCTTAACCATCAAATCTCGGTCTCTTATCCTCCATAGCCAGTACTAATACCTACCTCAATTCTTTCCATACTTTCAAGTATAATGATAATTCAAATTTATCAAATATTTTACTACTAAGCTCTCATTCCATACTTTCCTGCAATATAACATCACCTAATTCCTCAATTTTTATTTTTTTTTTACAAGTCCCAAGTAAGAAACTCTCAAATAATCAATCTCTTTAACCCCTAGGATCCAATAGATCCTCGTTCACATATTATGTAAATTAATCCTACAGTCAGGCATCCTAAACTTTAAGCCTAGGATACACTACAGAGATCTGAAACCTAAGCTCTGATACCAACTGTGACAGCCCCACCTCCCCCTAAGGCGAACCAAAGGGTTCGGCGGACCGCCTGCCCAGCTCTCGCCGGGACTCACTCACTCACTACAGTCCTCAATTAAATTACACAGTACAACTTAAATAATACATCAAATTTTCCAAGAATTACAAATCCCATAAGCGAAGCGGATCTAATTCTGAGCGTGGAACGTACACATACATCCACCCAAAACCAAGCATTTACAAGCCCAACTATTACACAATTGAACACAAGCAAATGTTGACTAACATTAAAGAGTACACACACTTAAATAAATTCCATATACATAGGAGAAAGTGCTTTCATATATATACAGGGCACTAGATCTACAAATCCAAAAAAGAATATTGGATGGGTACATTAGGGTTTCCAACTGTTGAGGAGCTATATGAAAGAACCGCAAAATATCTCACTAGCTCACTCGTGTCAAAAATCATGATTTTCAAAAGAAGTTCCCTGTAAGGAAAACAAAATTAACGGAAACGGGGTGAGCTTACGCTCAATGAGGTACCAATATAATAACAGTTTGGAATCGCGGAAATTCTTATTCAATTAGTCACATAAGCATTTCAACGCGGAAATAAACAAACATCTTAAATGGAAAGGATACGGGTGGCTCTCAGGAGCCTCAAAATTCCTGTTGCAGTACTTGATCCAACCCCGTTGACTCTCTGTCAACGTATGAAAATAACCATGTCCGTAGACCCCACTTTACACCAAATTCCGTCCATCAAACTTTCCCCTACCGGGCCCGAACACCTCAACAGTACAGTAGTGGTAATACTCGAGTATACCGGAATCAAGGGTCTCAATACCCAAGGATTCCAAAATAGACCACTGTGGTTCGTTGTCTAATCGACCTAGCCCATGCTGGCTCGACTCGAGTAACTAGCCATAGGTTTTGAGTTCAGAGATCACAAAATGGTCGTTGGGTACAAACCCCCAAACGCCGCCAGAACAGTTACAGATACAGATAACAGTTTCAAATTTACACAGTAAATGATCACAAGGCAAGAGAACGAGTGTGATAAAGTACACCCTCGTCCCAAATAGAATAAACAGATAGTACAATCTTTCATATCATAGATAGCATGTATAGAAGCCACATCTCATCAAAATTAAGGGAAGTGGGACACTCACCGGTTCACGTAAAATTCTTCAAAAGTTTTCACGCCGGTGTGGCTTTAGTCGCCAAGAGCCCTAAAATAATCGAAGTAAAATAATTGAAGGTTCCATATCCAAATTCGAGTAAATAAAATGTACAAGTGAGACCCGACTACTGGTCGTATGCCTCGCCAAATGCTTACTAATGCAAGAGTGCAAAACATGAGTTTTGGGAGTGAAAAGATAACAAAAGGACCTAGGGCTTGAGCAACTCAAAAGCACTTCAAGTCTATCAAAAGGCAACCAAGCTAAAAGGGACCAAAGGGCCTAGAAAATTGAACAGCATCTCCCTTAAATTTGCTTACTTTTCCATCCTATAAACAACACCAATTCATCTCAAATCAATCACATACACAACATAGACTATCAAATACTCCTTTTGGCATACTATCCATAACTGAAGCTATACTTATCAGATTGAAACGAATCTTATGGCGTTTCGAAGCTAAGACATAGATCTACATTTCTTATGAAGATCTCCAAAGCCAAATCCTACATTTTGAGGGTCAAATATCAAAATCTTGGAGAGAACAGAAAACTGTCCACAAAACAGAGTCTATGGGCAGTCAGGGGTATTTCAGTCAATTCACAGGCTACAGTGATCCGATAGATCTAGAATTTTGAAGGTAGATAGCTAGCTCATGTGTCTACAACTTTCATGTTTCGAGCAAGGACTGATTCAATCTTTAACATGGTCAAATGAACAGTACAAAACAGGGCAGATTACACCCTAAGCTGGAAATTAAACCACACAAGCTAACATTTCCTTAAGTAAGTGAAACTAGGCTATAAAACTTCAATAAATCCCATACCACAGCTATCAAAACATATCTAATCATTTCGCATCGTATCAAGGCGGAAAATCCCCAAAAAAAACTAAAAATTTCACAATACCACCTCATACCATGAAATATTCCAATTCACAAGAATTTCCACTAAATGAATCAAGTTCAACTCAAACTCAAAACAATCAAAGGCTCTCAAAGATTGGACAGAATTTTCCCTTTAATTTCCTTATTTTCCAACCTTCAAAACATTACCAATACCATCTCAATTCAACCACACATTCATATACAAATCATAGGCTACTAAATACCCTTCAATTGAGCTAAATGATAGCTCCCAAAACACACCACAATCAAGTCTCAATTCAAAACCCTAAAACCGAAATGTAGTTGCACAAGCTAAAATTTCACAACAAACCACAATTAACATATAAAAACTTCCTTCTATACCATATCAAGTTATCAATTCCAAGGCCAATCCAATACTTATCCTATCAACCAGAAAAATCATCAATAAATATGAAAATTGGTCAAGCCCAACCATAGGTCATGAAATATGCGACAAACTAGGCTATTCAACCACTATAAACCACTAATTTACCATTAATACGAACAAAGAGGAGATTCCTTCACACTCACCTTATAAACTTAAGAAAGGTAGCAACTTAGAGCCTTCTCTTCCAAATCCACTCCAACAATAGCTAGCAAGCACCTTAGATGTGAAGTTGATCGGAGTAGATTACAATTTAATCGGTTGAACTTCAAGATTGAAACAAAGAATTGAGGTGTCTCTCTTGTTTTCTCTCAAGAGAACAGCCGGCCAAGAGAAGTAGAAATGAGAGAAAAGCCAACCAAAACAAGATGAACAAAGAAAATGCGCTGTCAAAGGTGGCTACGAACGTGACACGTCAAATCCGACCAGGATCTGGCCGATTACCGGCCGGTATCGCGCCACGTCACAATCCGGCCAGAATCTGCAGGATTTCCGGCCGGATTCTGGCAGAGACGGAAAACCATTTTTTCAAAACTGCAAGGCATCCGGCCATGTATTCGGCCAGAAACTGGTCGGATTTCCGGCCGGATTTGTCCCTTCCCTTCTTGTAAAATTTTTCTTTTTCCAAGTTTAAAAGCGCGCTCCTCCGCTCTTCCAACAAAGATATAAATATAAAAATGCAAAACCCCCTTAGAAATGGATAGCAAATTTTTACCAATTCAAAAGAGAGAATGACAAGAAACAAAAGGTTGAGAAAATGTGGAAATTTTACGGTTCTCACACTTCAACACTTTTCATTCCCTCAAGGATCTCGCAAGGCCAAGTGATGGAATATGTACTCAGCATGCGAGACTAAGCCTATGAAGACCCAAGGCTTGTGTGATGCACACACTTGGTTAGTCCAAATGGTGCCGAATGCAACAATGGAAATGGAGTGGAAATACAGCTAGCTGGAGTTGGTTATGGCCATGCAGAGACGTTAGTTACAACCATGCAAACGATATTTTTCCATGCAGTTGTAGTTTGTTAATAAGTTTGTTAGTAAGGAATCTTTTGACGTCAGCAGCAGTTGATAGCCGCTCTTAGCTGACTGGCATAGAATGTTATAAATAGAAAAGTTAGAGCCAGGCAAGGGGGGATATAGAAAACTTGTCATAGCCTTTCACTTGTCTTTTCATAGCTTTCATTCTTTCTTTCCCTATAATCTCTCGGTTACTAAGAAATATACAAATCCTTTTCATCTCTGGTTCTTCGAAGTTACTTCTCCGCTTTCTTTGTAGCTTCCAGACCTTAGATAAGCAGGCCTCCACTGACCTCTGCATCAGTGGTATCAGAGCTAGGTTGAACCAGCTTAGTTCACCAATGGCAGAGGGCACTAGGTCTCAAGACGTCAGAAAGATGGAGGAACATGTTCGCGCCATGCTGAAGGAACAACAGGAACAGTTCGAGAGGGAGATGGAAGCTCTAAGGAACTTGGTGATTGAATTACATACACAGAAGGGTCCAGTAGGAGGCAATGACTCCCCTCATAATTCGGATTCTTCAAACAGCAACCGAGGGAATTACCATGTTCCCTCTCGCTTATCCCGGATTGATTTCCCAAAATTTCATGGGGAGGATTTTAGGGGATGGTTGTACAAGTGTGAGCAGTTTTTCGAAATAGATGAGACGCCAAGCTCGGTGAAGGTCAAAATAGCTGCAATGAATCTGGAGGGAAAAGCTTTCCAGTGGCACCAAATTTTCATGCGATCCAGACTCACACGGGAGATTCCGGCTTGGGAGGAGTATATAAGAGAATTGTCCTCCAGGTTTGGAGATTCCTTGTATGACGATCCAATGGGGGAACTTAAAAGCTTGAAACAATCTGGGACAGTACAGGAGTATCACGACCTGTTTGAGGAGCTGCTCAACAGGGTGGAGCTTCCTGAGGACTACGCCACAAGCTGTTTCGTGAGTGGGTTGAAACCAGAAATCCAGCTGTCTGTAAGGATGTTCATGCCTAAAAATGTGCAGCATGCTAGGACCCTGGCCAAGATTGAAGAAGCTAAGGTGCTTGTGCAGCAGAAAGGGAAGGGGTTATCCAAACCTTTCACAAGTTATCCAGGTCATACCAGTAATTCCGCTTCCTTCCACGCCAATCCATCTGGTCACAAATGGAAGGTAGATTCTAAGCCACTCCTACCCCTACCTACCTTTCCAGCACTACCTAGTAATGAGAAGCAGAAGGAGTTAGTCGTTAAGAAACCTTTCAAGAGGTTGAGTAGAGCAGAAATGGATGAGAAGAGAGCTAGGGGGTTATGCTTTTGGTGTGATGAGAGGTTCACAGCTGGACACAGATGTGGTAATCAACAATTTCACAGGCTGGAGGTTTGGGATGATATGTCAGGGGAGGAGGAGAATGAATCAGGTAGTGAAGAAGACACACTGGATGAAGGTCAACTGGCACACATTTCTCTTAATGCCATGACCAACATGAGTGTTCCTAATTTTAGAACTATGAGAGTCACTGGTCATGTGGGAAGGCAGCCTGTGAACATTTTTATTGATTGTGGTAGCTCCCATAATTTCATTCACCCTAAGGTAGTGCAGAAGCTGGGTTTGACTACACAGAGGGTTGATCCCTTGGTGGTAGAAGTAGCTGATAGGAATAAGTTGACCACTCAGGACCTTTGCAAGGACTTCACTTGGAAAATGCAAAAACAAGAGTTCAAGGCAGACTTACTTATGTTACCAGTAGGTGGTTGTGAGCTAGTTCTGGGCATGCAATGGCTGACTACCCTCGGTGATGTAAAATGGAATTTTGGAGAACTGCGGATGGAATTTATGCAAGCTGGTCACAAAGTGGTCCTAAGAGGAATCAAACAGCAAGGATTGCAGCTAATTCGGCAGAATAAGATGCAAAAGCTCCTTCAAAAGCCTGAGCAGATTGCTGAGGCACAGTTATGCCTGATCAGAGTAGTTCAGGACCCTACCTCAGAACCACTATCTCTCCGCACCATCTCCACCGACATAAGTAAACATCAGGTACGCCATTCAGTAGAACTTGAACACTTGTTGGATGAGTACAGCGATCTGTTTCATGAATCTAACAATCTGCCACCAGAAAGGTCTTATGACCATAAAATTACTCTGAAAGAGGGAACTGCACCTATCAATGTGAGGCCCTATCGATATCCTGTCTTCCAGAAGTGTGAGATCGAAAGGCTAGTGGCGGAGATGCTGGCGTGTGGCATTATCAGAACCAGCTCTAGTCCTTTTTCTTCTCCAGTAGTGTTAGTAAAAAAGAAAGATGGTTCGTGGAGGATGTGTGTTGATTACAGGCAATTGAATAATGCCACGATAAAGGATAAGTTCCCTATTCCTTTGATAGAGGAGTTGCTGGATGAATTGTATGGGGCAAAGTTTTTCACCAAGTTGGATCTAAGGTCTGGATATCACCAGATCAGGATGAAGGCTGAAGATGTGGAGAAGACAGCTTTCAGAACTCACGATGGTCATTATGAATTTCTGGTTATGCCCTTTGGGCTAACCAATGCTCCCTCAACCTTTCAGAGCTTGATGAATGATATCTTCAGGCCATTCTTAAGAAAATTCATTCTGGTCTTTTTTGATGACATCCTGATATATAGTGTGGAGTGGGAGGAACATCTACAACACCTTAACATCGTATTTGGATTGTTAAGGCAGCATTCTTTGAAGGTAAATGAAAGCAAGTGTGCTTTTGCTCAGCAACAGATTGACTATTTGGGACATGTTATTGATGCCAACGGAGTTGAGGCCGATCCACAGAAGATCTCTGCAATCATGAATTGGCCTATACCTCGAACCATCAAAGAATTAAGAGGATTTTTGGGGCTCACTGGATACTACCGGAGATTCATAAGAAACTATGGAAAAATTGCCAAACCATTAACAGATTTGCTTAAAAAGAACCAGTTCAAGTGGCGGGAGGGGGCCACTCTTGCTTTCAAGCACTTGCAGGAAGCCATGAGTAAGCCTCCTGTCCTAGCTCTACCAGACTTCACTTAGGAGTTCATACTGGAGACTGATGCTTCTGGAAATGGAATTGGAGCAGTGCTGATGCAAAGGAGGTAACCTCTGGCATTCTTCAGCAAGGCCTTGGGTCCCAAGCATCAGGCTCTATCTGTGTATGAAAAGGAAATGTTGGCAATAGTGACTGCAGTCTTGAAATGGAGAGCTTATTTGGTGGGCAGGCACTTTACTATCAAAACGGATCATCAGAGTCTGAAGTACATAATGGAGCAGCGAATACACACATCTTTGCAACAGAAATGGATAGCCAAACTAATGGGGTTTGACTATGAGGTGCAATACAAAAAGGGATGCGATAATATTGTTGCAGATGCACTTTCCAGAAGACCACTAGAGGAAGGATCAATGTATGCTTTGGTCACTATCACATCTTCACTGATCAAAGATATACAACACAATTGGCAGCAAGATAGACACATTCAGGAGCTGATTCAAAAGGTAGCTCACAATGAACACCTCCCTGGTAGCTACTCCTGGCAGCAAGGATTACTAAAAAGGAAAGGCAGACTGGTGGTAGGCAACGATCAGGCGTTGAGAAACAAGCTGATTTCCTTGTGGCATTCCAGTTCACAGGGAGGGCATTCAGGAGTAGAGGTGACCTACAGGAGACTTAAACAGGTCTTATATTGGCAACACATGATTAAGGATGTGGCTCAGCATGTAGCCTCTTGTGATGTATGTCAGAGGCATAAATCAGATAATGCAGCTTATCCGGAGTTGCTGCAACCGTTGCCTATACCTCATAGGATCTGGACAGACATCTCTATGGATTTTGTTGAAGGTTTGCCCCCCTCACATGGCAAGAAGGTGATTCTGGTGGTGGTTGATAGGCTCAGCAAATATGCGCACTTTATGGCAGCGGCCCATCCTTACACAGCCATTTCAATTGCTCAGCTATTCATGGATACGGTTTACAGGTTGCATGGTTTACCTCAGACGATTGTAAGTGATAGGGACCCCACTTTTTTGAGCTCCTTCTGGCAAGAGTTTTTCAGGTTACAACATGTCAAGTTGAACATGTCTACTGCTTACCATCCTCAGAGTGACGGTCAGACGGAAGTGGTTAACAGATGCTTGGAAAACTATCTGAGATGTATGGCCAGTGATCATCCTAAGGAATGGAGCTTATGGCTACCACTAGCAGAATATTGGTACAATACCAATTATCACTCATCTGCTAAGTTCACTCCTTATGAGATAGTCTATGGCCAACCTCCACCCCTTCATGTCCCTTACTTACCGGAAGCTACATCAGTAGAATCGGTTGACAGAAGTTTGCATGCTAGGGAGAGGGTCATTCATTCTCTACGCCACAACCTGACTAAGGCACAACACAGAATGAAACAATTGACTGATCAACATAGAACAGAAAGAGAATTCAGCGTTGGTGATTGGGTTTACGTCAAGCTTCAACCTTATAGACAACACTCATTGAGGAGTCATCACTGCCAGAAACTATCTCCACGCTACTTTGGTCCATTTCAGGTGATAGCAAGAGTTGGCACAGTGGCCTACAGGTTGGCACTGCCCGCACATGTTCGTATTCACAATACCTTTCATGTTTCTGTGCTCAAAAGGAAGGTGGGTTCAGGGGACGTTCAGGCTCGCATCCCAGCTGGGGTCTCACAGCAGGGTCAACTTCTGTTGGAGCCTATAGCAATATTGGACAGGCGCTTGGTCAAACGTGGAAAGGCCGCGGCTACGCAAGTGCTAGTCCAATGGAGCAACAGCTTTCCAGAGGATGCAACATGGGAATACTTACAGGATCTTCAATTGCAGTTTCCCAATTTCAGTCCTTGAGGACAAGGACCTTGTAAGGGGAGGGTATTGATACACGCACTTGGTTAGCCCACATGATGCCGAATGCAGCAACGGAAATGCAGTGGAGAAATACAGCTAGCTGGAGTAGTTATGGCCATGCAGAGACGTTAGTTACGGCCATGCAGACGATATTTTTTCCATGCAGTTGTAGTTTGTTAATAAGTTTGTTAGTACGGAATCTTTTGACGTCAGCAGCAGTTGATAGCCGCTCTTAGCTGACTGGCATAGAATGTTATAAATAGAAAAGTTAGAGCCAGGCAAGGGGGGATATATAGAAAACTTGTCATAGCCTTTCACTTGTCTTTTCATAGCTTTCATTCCTTCTTTCCCTATAATCTCTCGGTTACTAAGAAATAACACATCTTTTTCATCTCTGGTTCTTCGAAGTTACTTCTCCGCTTTCTTTGTAGCTTCCAGACTTTAGATAAGCAGGCCTCCACTGACCTCTGCATCATTGTGCCACATCCTACGAGTCATTGGTAGATTTTGCACGAATGATCTTGGGATTGAATACCGATATTGAAGTTTTATCAACGCATCACCTCGCAAAATCTAATGCTGCTAGATTACAGAACTATACAATCACAGAAGCTCCTGAACGAATTTCAAATCCAAAGATGGTCAGCTGTCACACCATGCCATATCCTTTCATAGTTTTCTATTGCCACTATCAGCAGGGCGATAATCGTTTATACAGGACTGTTCTATCTGGAGAGAATGGTGATAGGGTTGAAGCTCTTGCAATATGTCACATGGATACCTCCCAATGGAGCCATGATCACGTTTCCTTCCGAGTGCTTCGTATCGAACCGGGCACTGCCCCTGTTTGCCATTTCTTCCCAGCAGAGGACTTTGTATTGGTTCCATCTACTTCTTCAATCTAGTAATCTAGCACTCTTATCCAAGAGCTCGGCTCCAATGAATTTCTGTATTTTCGTTGTTCAGCTCAAATCACCTTGTCGTAATGTGTGATACTGGAACCTGTTTCATTCGTGTGCCTCATGTTTGAATTCTGTATTGAATAAACCTCTGACGAGTACTAGTGCTTCTTTGGACAATCAAAGTTTTATATGCTTCAATTTCTTGGTGCATCTCGAACATTCATGTTTCTAGATTGCACCCTAAAGTTTTTTCTTTCTTCTGCTAATGTTTCCCCTAATGTAGAATTTCTTTTAGTTTCCCGGCGCGGAGGTTTATTGTTGGCATATTAAATTAAGTCTCAAAGATAAAAATTTCTATATTATTATTTCATGTTTCTTTTAGTTTCACGCTTAATTGGTACATCGATGAAAAGCGTGTATGCATTAACAATAAGAATGTTACCCATAACTAGGGCTAAGGTAATAAACACATCATTTGTATCGGTAAACTTCAATTTGTAAGAGCAGTTAAGAATTTCATGACCTTAAAAGCTTTCTATTGTTATTTTTACTAATTTTATATCATGTTAGTAGTATAATTTACTTGTTTTATTTGTGATAATCTAAATAATAGAAAAGTTTGAAAATCACTGGTAATTGACAATTTTTCTTATGCGATCAATACTTAATATTTCTTATACGCGGTAAGTCTATTTTTGGGATTATTTTTATTTTAAACAATTATTTATTTTGACTTAAATTATATTGTGTTTGAAAAGAAGAACCTTTTGAATAAAATTATAAAAATGAAAATATAAGAGCATGTAGAATTTGTATGCGAGAAATTATTATAGCCAAGACTAATCTAATAAATCATGAAAATAATGAATGAATTAACATGTGAGAGATAGAGAAGAATGTGAGTAAGTGAGTAGGAACAAACTTCACTTAGAGAGAGAGGAAAGGTAATGAGTGCTTAATGGATGTAAAAATATCAAGAAAAATGTATGAAGTTAACTGATTAAGGGTAACCTTGGTATTTGATAAACATTTGCCCTGAAAATATCAAGAGATTTTATTTCCTTTTTTAATTTGGATACTATTAGTTTAGGAACCATATATTTAGTTTCCTTTTTTTTTTAATAGTTTTAGTATTTATAGATTCCTTAATCCTTTGTGTAAATGGGGAAATTCGTGAGTACTAGTACGAAGGATTGGTGGTGTGTTTCTGGGGATACGGTTGTGAAGAAACGAAAACAGCCAGAAAGAACAACGCACTAATATTTGGCTATTCTTTTGTTCGTTAGTTATTAGAAAAAATTAATTTTCCCTTTATTACTTATTTTCTTTTTCTCTTCAACTACAATACCTAGTCGTACTTTTGGCTGCAGATGAACCATGACAAGTGGATAAATTCCTACTCTAGGCAAAGAATAATCAAAGTTCTGATTTATTGAATACTATGGGATCTAATTTGATTTTATTTGCTTTATTCAGTAAATAATGTTTTTATATATTCCCCATTCATTCATGAGAATGATTATTTTATACAATTAAATAATTGATCACTATTTACTAGTGATAAGTGACTAATTTACGTTTTATTTGAATGATATTTTATATTATTTTTAGTCACTTTGGTTATATTATTGAAAGAAAATGAATCATTTTGGCTATAATTGGTGAAAAATGTTCTTAAGCGATTAAATGAGGTTTTCATCACTTTTTACTTAGATTTTGTGAATTTTGACTGCTTTGACACATCTTTGTATTTTGGCTATGACTTAAGCTACAATGATCGGATTGAGATAATTCTTAAATCAAATTGAAGATAAGAGATAGACCTACAACTTTGGTGAAGACATCAAAATCCAGTTCTAAGGTT